GTACACAACGCACGCCGCTCGAGAGTGAGGCGGTCACTCGAGCAAGAGTGAATATCAAAGTCCTAATGTACGAATGTCCAGGTATTCGCATACCAAACTACATTAGGTTTAACTACAAAGTAAGGTTTTGTTACCGGCGACAGTAACAAACATGTCAAACTGACCGATTACCTTAGCTGTAACAAATATACTTTGGGGGTTATTGGACTGTTTATGCATGATGGATGTTGGTACCATTATTCAACCATACTGATAATAACATTTGCTAATTAAACTTAATAGAAACATGGCAGCGACAGTATTTGCATCCCATTATTGAGAATGAGCGAGCATAGCCATTATTTCAGCCATATGACGACCAGACCAAGTCTGCACATATACACAGGTACATTTTAAGAAGAATGTTTAAGGGAGCGTCGGATCTAAAATTAACCGTCATTTGAGATAATTATATCAGTATAGCTGAACCATATACTATATGTGCGGAGTCAAAGTTCGGTCTGTCATCACAAACTGACTGTTTGTATAACATGTTACCTTCACGCATGACGAAACCATCTGACCAGGGGACGATGTAAGAGTGAAAATGACATTGGTAGGCTGAAGTTGGTGGTTCATAACCCAGTTAATGAAAACAAAGGCCATAATGCATACAACTCACTGCATGTTCATTGACACAGATGCACTGTCATCAGATATTCCTAACTCAGCGATTGTGTCATCATCCTCTGTATCTATATTTATTATGGCTGGTTCTACTGTTGTTCTCAGGAGGACGTCTTTTTGCTAGTATTATTCCTCAATTGTCAAAACATTTCGGATTTCTGCGTCAAATATTCTTTTGACGTCTTTCAACTTATAAGGTGTATTTTGAAAGTTTTTCTTGACATGTCCCCAAATAGGATCGATAGATTAAGATCACTGTGATGTGGCAGGATAAACTCTGGCTTAGTAGCTGTACTCGAATATTCTATACTGTGATCACTCAGGCCACATGACCTTTCATTGATGTAGATGTTGCGCATTGTTTCCCTGGATCTATGCAGCAACGGTCTATTATCCATAACAACGAGAGATTTGTCAGACAAAGCTCTGATTAGGTCTTCTGTATTCGAATATCCGAATTTATATACGTTCACATTCAACTGATTTTGATCTAGATACCATAATGTGGATGTGATCCAGGATGCAGCACGATAAACCTCTCTCCTGGTTACTCAGGCGTTTGCATTTGTAACCAAATTTCAAAAAGGGTTTTCAGATCGTAAATATAGATGCATTGACATCATGATCATCTTAAAGTATTGTCACAGTTGGAATGTATTGGGACGGTCCCTGAAACAATTGTACGTTTCTCGATCGACAGTTCATCAAAACAAACAATGCGAAACAGTTTACCCCTTGAAATGTGGGTTGCGTAACGTATGCTTTTAGTGTAACAGTTCAATGATATTGTCCCATTAAGATTCGGAAGACTTTTAACAAACACTTGCATACATTTCAGACGACGTCTCGAGCATCCTTCGACCGCATTGAATAGAACAAACTCACACAACCTCACCCCCCATTGACACTGATCAGTAAAGTTTCGTGATCCAAGGTCGTGTAAGCAGTTAGCAAGTCCGACTGATATTCTGATTTAACAGACATTCCGTCATCTTCAGACAACCCCTTCCCCCCACATCCATCGCCAGTTTCATGACAAAAATGAAGGGAACATCTAGTATTTGGGATGGCAAACTCTCAAACTCAATTTTTACTGATGTTTAATTAACCATCTTCGATTCCTCTGTATCAGTTGGTGCCGTTACCCAAGAGAACATCAAGCAGTTGAAGAAAGAAATCTTCGATGGATACGATGTTTACATTCGCCCTGTTCACAACCAAACGGAATCAGTAAATGTGGATATGCGGTTTGTCCTTTACAACATCGCCTACCTGGTACGTAATTCTACTAGAGAGTTGAAGGTATCATATACCTCAACCTTCTCGTATCTTGTGTAAAAATATACATGTATGTATGTGATATATATATCTAAATGTTCAAATTCAGGATCTGAAGATTCAGACGCTAAAATGGAACGGCTTCCTGAGCTTGGTAAGTTTAACGTCTTATAATGTACCCACTTTTCTTGTCCCTTTTAAGCATATATATCGATTCCTCTTACATTTCTAACTTGAATATAATAAATTCAAAGCAAATATACACCTTGTACATTTTCGATTTATCGAACTCTAACATTGTCCTGGACCCAGTTGTATCAACGCGTAATTATGTAATCTTCAATTAAACACTAATCATTGATTAAATTCTTAATGTTTGATTAGTTAATGAAGTGTTTAAATACGGTTGTATAAACCCTTATTTAAACACCCATTAACTAAGTATGCCTCTAACAAAGGTCCCGTCATTAAACCATGATTAACTTAGGGGAATCCCCTAATTATTATCCATGATGCATTGCAGGTAAACACTCATCTATAGTCTGCATAATGGCTGCCGTCAGAAATCGCAGTAAAAACTTTGAAAGTTGTGAAATACAGGCCTAGTTGAAGATCATATCAGTGTGTTAAACAGCAAACTGACTAACTCCATTACTAATGACAAAAAAGAAGCTGATATGGGACAAAATAATGTCTGAGCTCAATAGCATTCGGGTAAGCAATAGAACGTCCAAAGAAATCAATACAAAATGGAACAACATGTTTCAAAATGCAAATAAAAAGTGTTTTCAGACAGAATATGGTCTACTACACTAAATGTGTCAATTTCTTATGTAAATATTATTCAAACAATCAAAAACTTTCAAAGAATATAGAATGTATACCCTATATCCACGTATGATATGATATTGAACAAAACTAAATGTAGATACTGAAGTCAGTTTCATGAAAAAGTATCTGAACTATACGCAAAATACACATCATAATACTGACAGTGTAATCGGAAGGATAGGGCGATTGTGTTTACTCTTGTTCAGCCGACCTTCACCTCAAAGAAATTGCCTAATATGTGCAACAAGGTTGACGTATGACATCACTACCGCTGACCGATTTCTTACAAAATGGCGACTTCGCTGACAAGGGTACACAGGATTTTGCGAGGACTCTTCCCTTGATTCAGGGATCATTTGTACATAAATATGTGATGTAAGTAATCAGAATTATTCTGACTCTCTGTGTATTGTTATATGTTTTTTATAGTTTTCATTGGATAAATAAGAGAAGAAGCCAGAAATGCTGATAATTACCGTTGTCGTTCTGCGTTATTTTGCATCAGTCATGGCGTCACGCTGCACGGAAACCTTGATAAATTCTTATGAATTATCAAATCATTGCATTGTATCTGTTTTTAATTTCCTGTTTCTTGGCACGATACTCTTTCCATGCATATTCTAAAGATATTGAGCCATTGCAAGCAAAGAATGGACGGCTGGGTGTCGGACAATTCCAGAAAATGCTACGCAGTGTAAAATCGGATTTTTCTTTGTTTACATTTCAAACAAGTGCAATCTTTCGAGTACAATGTTCGTTTTCACCCCAATATCTTTCGTTTCATTTCATCTAGACAGTTGGTATTGGTGACAAAGACCATTTGTAATTTGATTCCAAAATGTATAGGGAATTCAGTGGTGTATTTCTCGCAGCTGAATATGAAATATACGTGATGTAATTGGTGTCTCAATACCGGCCTTCGCGAAACGTGATTTTGTAAACAGTATCCAATATGGCGGAAAACGCACTTCGGCGTTTGTGTAAGTGTATTTTCGAAAACATCCCAACCGATTCTAGGTTCATCGGCAACGTTTCAGAATTATCATTAGTGATTTTATGAAAAACTGATATCAGTGATCATTACTATGCTATTTTTGAAATTCTATATTCCCAGTAATTGTCAAATTTTCACATTTCAAAACTTACAGCAAATAACTCTGTGAATCGCGATTACATATTGTGTCAAAAATGGCGACACGACGAAGTCTATTTTGAAAGGTTATTTTAAGCACTTTAGTTTTGTCTGATTTAATAGTGGATGGTATCAAGAAACAGGGAATTTCCCGCAGAATTCAAAACTGTGAAGTATATTTGTATATAAATATGTGATATATTTAGAATTTTATTGAACTTCAAAGTGAGGGTTAAAGAGGAAGGACATATATGTCCCTGTGGCACCCGGTGGGGGTTAATTAATCCGTTCACGAAAATGTTTCTCTTTTCTCCGACGTCGAAGTTGATGGTACATTATGTCGTCTGCCATGTTGATACAGCTAATGATGAGTTAATGATACCCCCAAACCTTCATTAGCTTAATGATGGATTAATGAAGGGATTCCTTTATTAAGGATTTCATGCAACTGAAGATAATCAGTGATTAACTAATCATAGTTTAATTAACGATTAAAGCTTTATTAAAGTTTGATACAACCGGGTCCATTATAAATCGCAGGATCTGTATTCAGCTAAATTTAGACTAGAAGAATAATTCATGTACACAAACAAAATACCTGTCGACAACAAACATGAGACCACATATATCCCGGATAAATAGTAATCTAAGTGAGTAGCCTCCATGCTTAGTAGCATTTTGACTTTATTCAGATCTGTTGCCCAATTTCACAACTATCCACCTAAACTTATGCTTCTTTTCTTTTTGACATAGTGTTTCTCAGAAAACGAGCCTGGGAACATCGGATACTCTCGTTCATATAGAAAGCAGTGGATTAGTCATTTGGGAACCGGGAATTGTTAGTGAAACAAGCTGCAAAGTTGACATCAGGAAGTACCCCTTCGACACCCAGACCTGTTCCTTTCAATTTCATCCCTGGATGACTACAAGCAGGTTCTTGAACACTACCAGTGATTTCAATAAGATCGACGAGATAGATTTCGTGCCACATGGAGAGTTCACCACTATAGAGTCCTTGGTCCATTCGATCGCATCGATGTAGCTTTTACAGAAGATGTTTTGGTGGGAATAACCTACACTATTGTCCTCAACAGACGTACGGCGTTCTATTGGATGGTCATGGTATTTCCAATGGCAAGCTTTCCACTGCTCAGTCCAGTCAGCTTCCTTGTACCTGTAGAGAGTGGGGAGAAGATAACTCTGTCAATCACCGTGGTGTTGTCCTACTTGGTCTTCATTGGGTCAATAAATGATGCGATGCCAAAGTTGTCAGATACAGTCTCCTTGATAGGTACGGTACATCAGCAAGACGTCATACGTCTTTTTATGAACAAGATTTCCTTGGTTGTGTGTATACAAACATGTTTTGTCAGTGTTGTTTTTTAATGAGTGAGTGAGTTTTGTTTTACGCCGCTTTAGCAATATCCCAGCAATATGAGTTTGAAGTAAATGTCAGTTGTACATTGTCATAGCGTCTAATTTAGGACAGCAATCGTCCAAATATTTCCTAAGTCCAAAAAACTATGTTGCCAAGACATGTGAGACTTAATTGTAATTATTTATGACACTAATCTGCAATCGTAATCCTTATCACTAACACATTGTACATTGTCTTGTAAGCCACCCGTACGCCACTTTCATTAATTACTGTGTATTGCATTTATAGCCTTAATTGGTCATCCCCCTTGGCCGTGTCTGCCGTCACATCAACTGATTCAAGGAAGTGCTATTGTTTCTCTATCTGTCCATTGTTGAGTCTTCACCTGTCCATTGTTGTCAAAAACTGTATATATGCTCATATCCATATTGTCACCAGTCCGGTATTCCGACTGCTTGTGTAGGGACTTCCGCGAGCAGGATAATAACGCTCATAGGAAACGCACAAGGGTTGAGCTGGAACTCACCTCAGTTATGTATACTTGTTTTATAGCATATCTTGTGTAACCAACTAAAGAAGTTTGGACTCAACTATTCATTCGTCTTTGTCAACGTATTGTTCATATAATTCTGAACTAGTTCCCCCGTCCACACATATACGCGTTGTCAATATTTACAGTTTACATCAAATAACTTCGGTTGTCAGCCCAGAGTTTGGGAGGATCCTATGACACGATCAACTTGGCAGCTCCTTAATTTTCTAGTTATTGTGTGTGTGCTTGCGTGCGTGCGTGCGTGCGTGCGTGTGTGTGTGTGTGTGTGTGTGTGTGTGTGTGTGTGTTTAAAGAAAGAGAACACTTTGTAATATTATGTTTAATTATATTTGTGGTATATATTTATTTACACACTAACTCGTTGGAGCTTTAATGTTTGCCCAGAACATGTTATTTGCTACACATATGCGACAATTCAGATAAACGTTTACATAATTGCTCTGGGTACTTACGCATGTGATAACGAAATGCAACAATGAAAACATGAGGTTCAAATTGTCCTTAATGTGTTTGGGATGTCTCTGATCTCGAGTTAAAGTTTGATTGAGCATATACATTGTGATTCAATATATAATCTACACATGATTTTATTGCAGTGATCTATGCCTCCGTACAGACATTGATAAGCATGCTGACAGTCGTTGCCAATGGAATTATCATATACATACATAAGCTGCCCCCGGACTTTCAAGTCACAGTTCCAATGTTCAAAGCATCAAAGAGACTTAACTCATCAGGAAAAAGGAATTACGATCCACAAAATGGGAGGAGTTGCAAAGGTAATTCTCCGAAGCTGGAGTTGCGTTCAATTAATGGCAAGACAAGGGCATTACAATTAGAAGAAGAATGCATAAAGGAAATGTCCGAAAACGACTGGCTTCAAAGTGGCAAATGGATCCTGCTTGCTCGTCGTCTTGACAAGATCTGCTTCGTATGCTTTGCGTTTCTTGTTATATTGGTATCTGTCATTTTCGGCTTCCTTTTCATATGGTGAGGAAAAAGATAATGGTGCCGAACAATCAGAACTTTGTTTGAATCCATGATTCCTGTCCCATATTAAGCTTAACGGTACTTCTATATTCAGTGTGTTACTTTTCTTTGTCGCAATTAAAACAACATGACTAGTAATGTGCCGATTGTTTCTATTTTCATGAAATGTTGTGATATTTGTGATAGAATATATTAATCATTGAAAATTTAAGTGATGCATTTCAATAATACACAAACAAAATATGCTTGCTAGGACGGCATCCATAGAATTTATGGGCCTATTGTGTCCCAATTTCAAGGGGTGACTTTTGACGGGGAAACAACTATTGCGATAGTGAGAGCCTATTGAAACATACTATTGCAATACTATTGCAATAGTTTTTTCTCCTTGAATTGTCTCATTTGAAGTCATTTCCTTAATGAATGTATAGTTTATATGAAATATAAACAAGTTGAAGTGGTTTCAGTCGCTTCAGAAAAAAATACAAAAAACTTTAAACCCAGATCAAGTAAAGATTAAAACATAAATTCAATGAAGCTGCAAGTGTGCACGTAAACAATACAAAAATTCAAAACAACATAAATATTCAATAACATTTTTGCGCTGCGCTTTTATCAACAGAAGTCTATTACTAAACTATCGATAGTCACACATACCATCGATGCATGGATAGGTTTTCGTTTCTACAATCGAGACTCAACAATTGCAATCCATCGATAGTTCGATGCATCGTTACGACCCTACCAGTTTCCTTTGCTGTCTAGAAAAAGCATGACAGCATTTTAAAATTAATGCTGCTATAGTACAGGTTACAGAATGTCGAATTGGAAACTACTTTCTCCTGGCAAACGTTTGACTCAAAACTGTATGATGAAATGGACAATCTACAGCATTCTGATGCGTGTTAACAGGGCGACGTCGTGTCTGAGTTCACGCAGACATACCCAGACAGAAAATGACTGGTAACGTTTGCATTTTACAATGACTTTAAGTATTGTTAGTATGGAACACTCGTGAATGCAGAAACCTTAACATACACAGTGTTTGTATTTTACATTAGGGGATTATGTAAAAACAAATGACTAAATACGTCCTGAAGCATCTGTTCTCGCCACACATTTGGAAATTAAAATAGTAATTGTGTTTGCCATCCAATTAGGAATATGTCACTTTTTATTTCTTGCTTCCAATACTACAGTGAAACGATGAGTGGTTCACTCGCATGAGTAAATCTACTTGAACAAACACTGAAGTCATTGTAAAATATTACGACCAATATGGATATGTAATATGTGGTATTTGGGTGTAGCATCAAAGACTGGGATTATTAACAGGCCACTGCCATGTAGTTGGAACTTAAGCGAGGATTGAAATCGCCAACCATTAAGTGATGCTGACATGTGCATACCCCTACCGCAACTGCCATAATCACACTAGTACATCAAAGTTCTCCAAAACCCTATATTCATATCTACCACAAAACTGGTGATTGTGTCGACCATGCCATATTGTGATCTGTCACCTGTATTTGCCAAAGGTGAAATCGAAATGCTTTGCATTTTCAGTGGACCAAGCCATGACAGAGTTTGGTTGAAAACCGCTTTGAAATGAAACATAATGACAATAATGATAATCGTCGATTAGGCGTTACAAGCAACGTGCACCAAATTTACCAAACATATAAGGAACAAGCACCAACATATTTCTTATGATCTGAGTCTACCAATTTCCATTAGATTTACAAATCAATACAAATGACTGCAAAGGAACGGCAGTACAGAAGAAAGTGGCTGTATTAGTTTAACGGCAGAAAACATACAATGGCAATATACTGTAAAAGCGGTGATTTTAGCTTTTAAGACAGTGGGGGCAACTTTCACCTAGCTGCGACTGTGGTGAAGCTTCCAAACTAAGCTCCGGCTGGGAATCCAGGACTAAATGGGATTGTCATAAACTGCTGTCAAACTGCTGAGATAACAGAGTCACGCGAGTATATGATATAAATATGTTCTGGAACATTCTGTAACATACTGAATTGGACTGTGCTGAATTAATACATGCAGTTCCAGAAGCTTCTTTACTCCGAATCTAAACATAGTCACAACCATACCACTGACCTCTATTGAATCGTAACAGAAGCACCCAGTACAATAACAAAATGTTTGCAAGAAAGTATACTTCCACATATAGAGTTCGCAACAGAGAGAAAAATGACGAGCCTTCCTATATGCGAGCGAAGCGAGCGAAGGTTGGCAACGTACTTCACTCGTTTTGGTTCGAAATATATTTTTAATGTCAAAATACAACATCGCCACCATCAAATGTAGGCACACATATCCTCACAGGGTTGTGCTCTCAGATTTCAAACCTCATATTTTATAATTACTCACGTAAAACAAATTTCATTAGTGGCCACTCGTGGCATATCAATTCGTTCTTCGCCTCCATTACCCCTGCCGGAGTGAAGGAACAGGAATAAGCTGAAATTTTAAAATTATACCATTAAACTGTTGAAGATTATTTATCTTATTTGCCGTCGTTATTGTTAGAATTTCCGTGGCATTTATTCTAAAAAACACTTCTGACGTTGCGGGTGAGTGAAAACAAGGGAGGTAACTCCACAAGTAGTTTCTTTTTGCGGGAAATACAAGAAAGTAAAATGTGGTCATACTTTCCATATGGTGGACAGGTGGTCCCACTGAGTCCAAGACAAATCTTAGAGGATGTGTGTACGAAATAGCAAGTGGCTCCCCTGGTAACCACTGTAACCTCACCGATGTGCTTGAGTCCCATGAACGGCGCCGAACAGGTCTGAACAATGTTCTAACCTCTTTTATTGTTGTCTTACGGAGTTTTTACCAACATCGGTAGTCCTGACTTTATTCAAGCATCTTGAATGATGGAAGGATTGCGCCCAGCTTGATGTCCAATTTGTCTGATGGTCATTCCTGCATTTCTCATGCCAATAAGTTGCCACCTTGTAGCCTCTGACAATTTAAGACGTGCCATGACAGTTACGGTACTGAATATTCAATCCAAATTGAAAGGAGAGAGTGTGACATGTTAGATCAGTAAAAACTTCATTTCAACAATGTTTGGGGTGGAGGAGTAACCATTTCACGACATTCGAGGTTCAACCATGCATGCTCTTTTTATCGAATTCATATTTCATATAGTTTTGGGGGGTTGACCTTAAAACAAAATACTCAGGGGAACATAATACATTCAAACCATAAAGTTAGAGGGTTCGTACAGTCGTCTTTGTTTTGGCAGAAACTTCTTATGGATGTGAAAAGGGTTTTGAAGTTTTTATTATTATTGTAATATATTAAATAATTGTCATCACTTCTGGACGTTTAATTTGTTTCGCCTCATAAAAGAGACTGTGGTTTCTCTGTTGTTGACATTCCACTTTCATATAGTCGTGTCATGATGTTTCTGGTAAAGAAATGTACTGACTGAAGATTGCTGACAGGTGTTGAATGAGCAATGTAGACGAGTGGTAGGTCTCTTGAATGGCAAAACGTTAGCAGACAGAGTAAATCCAAAGCAGTAGTCCTATATCTCGAGAACTACCATTCCTTATATACCTATTATACTGTTCTAGACGTTTCTAGCAGAAGCCACGCCACGCTAGAATAAATAATTGTCATCACTTTCAGACGTTTAATAGAAGAGACTGTGTTTTCTCTGTTGTTGGCGGTCCAATATGTTTCTAGAAATATTGAAATACCATTCCATTCCACCAACACAATTCAATCGATCATTAGTGTCTAGGCCTTGACAAACAATCGTCAAAAACAAACGTGTCGAAGTGAATAGAAAGTTATGTCTTTATCCCATTAATCAATAATGTCGGTGGGCTCTGGTAAATATATATATTGATTAGTGCACACATCCACATGCATGAAGTTCAGACTAGATGCCGCATCACTCTGCTATTTTCACGAATGAAGTCACACGGGAAGCGGGTTCCAGGAGAAATGGCACAAAGCACCGTGACGTGGATGATTCTCTTCTTGCACCTTTATGATGGTAGGTGTCTTGAATTGTTATTACTAATAGTTCACTTTCATATATAATATTTACAGTATAGAACAGAATTCCAGTCATAGTCTCTACTGGATAATCTAAACTCATATAAAAACTTTTCACTATGATGCTGTTCTGTCTCACAGTCCCTGAACCACATTATTGTCCCTACAATGCGTAAGCCCTAAATGAAGCAAGTCTAGATTTTCTCAGGTTAAGTATGAATTTCCCATCTAACTAGGGCTCCTTTTCAATTTAAATGGGTTTGTTTGGGTTGTATATTACCAACAACAGGATCGGGAATTCTTATTTACATTTGTTTGTTGGTTTCTTTGGTTTCCTGTTTAACGAAACACTTGGTATTGTTCCAGCTATATGACGACGATCTGTAAATAATCGAGTCAGAACAAGAACATACTGTGGTTGTCATCATAAGCATTGATATACGTAACTAGGATACGTAAACATCAGTTATGCAAAGTGTAAAGAGGGGAATTAGTCATAAACGTTGGAGCTAACAGCGTTTTTGTCGGTCTCTTTCAGAACAAGAGAGAATATGATCATAAGTACACTAAACGCCAAAAGAAACGTTACCCTCCTACATTTATGAATTACTTAAAAACTGTCAAAGACATGTTGGAAGGTATTAGTTTACAAGAAAGATTAACAACACAGCTTTATGCAAATCACGAAAAGTAATTCTCAAATGCATTCATATTTAGGTGAAGTGCATTTTCTTCAGGAGTTAAATTGTCCTTTTTTGTCCATGCCGAAACAAACCAATAACAGTGACTGAGATGTCCAAAAGAAAGGTTGAAATAAAATTCTGGTTTGAAACAAAGATAAACCAATTAAAGTCACCATTTTTCAACTATCAAAACAAGGGACAACTGTTGAAGAGTGCATAAAATTGTAAAATAATCATTCCTATGATTTCAGTCTTTTAAAACATTTTGTGTTGATTTGCATTAGTGAAAACAAGTAAAACGTGTCTTTGATGTTTTGAAAAAATGTTAAGGAAAATCTAAAATTATCTTTGTTAACATTTTTGCTTGCAAAGTAACATTTTTCCATTTTCTGTTTACACATAGCAATATCAATCGCCAAAACGCAGCAATATTCAAGCAACATTTGCATCCATTTCACATGTAGAATGATTCTATGGGATATAAAGAGAGCCTAGAATACGTGATATGATACACAAGTACGAGAAATATGCCACGATTAACAGCTGAAGAGAGAGAAATAGCCATTGGGATGGTGCAGATGGGGTCGACATACAATGCTGTTGCCAACGCCCTCGGATGCCACCGTATCACGGTTATAAGACTTATTCAGGGCTTCAGACAGACTGGGGTCCCTCTAGACAGACCAAAAAGTGGACGTCCACGCATCACAACGCCAGCTGAAGATAGGTACCTCCGGCATTAAGGAAAGAGGGAAACGTTTCTTTTGGCGTTTAGTGTATAGATATCACACCAGATTAAATCGCCGAAATGCCGTTCTATTCAACATTACTTGAATCATTCAGTAATAGTACGTTTTGGCCATCACCAGACGGGCACGTCATATCTCTTTAGAAACTGTATTTCTATCATGCTTGAGAAAGCCCTTTGAAGCGTGGTTTTGGGAACGTGTAATGAGAACATCCAGTATTATACCGGTAGTGTAGATGTGCACACTGCATGTAACAACGGGCTTTATGCCGACTGGAAGAATCAGAGTTCGTGTAGACCTTCCCAAAATATCATTTCAACACGTGCATCCGTCCTCAGAAGGTAAGTACCTCTGGTTCGTTGGAAAGCCCGTTCAAATGCCTTTCAAAATCTGATGGTCGAGCCATATGAGGCCGTACATATATTCCCGTTTGAAATGCTGTTTTTGCGCTGACGGAGATTAGAAAATCATCTGCTGTACCCGTGGTGTTACGATTTACGTCTGTAGCATGTCTGAAGGTCCGTTCTATGCGGCACGACCAACAACTGATGCCATATCTGATGGCTATACACGTCCGTATAGAGTCTCGTTTGAACTCAGAACTGTTCTGTGACAAAGATTCGAAAATGGGCTCTATCATTGATGTTCAATTTATGTCTGCTGACAGTTTAAAGTCAACATGGTGTGAGAGGACAAAGTTTAAAAGCGCTCGTTTTATACGACTTAGGTAAACAACGAGAGTTGAATTGAAGTTTGAACTATTTCTACTGTACTGTCGGAACGAGTACATTTCCCTGATGCTTACTCGATAGATTAAGGGAGAATTAGTCAAAAATGCACCTGTTAGCATTTGAGGTACAATACTTATTGGTGATATACTGACAAAAGGTATCGTTTAATAATGATAGGGAAGCAAGATTCTTCCAGCTTTGAATTCTTTTATGTTTCCCTTAACTCATAAGCATCAGAATCTCTGCAATCCTACACAGCAGTCGTATATCAGAATTATCAAACTGGACTCTCCAGGCCATCGACCATCGACCATCGACCGCTATCACACGGCAGGGGTATTGTTGTGCAGCATCAGGCTATAAATACCTGTAGTGAGTGTAACAATGCTATTGTCCCCGTTTGAAAGAATTGCATACATTTCAGACGATGTGTCGAGCATCCCTCGACAGCATATCTGAGAACACTCTCACACGCACTGATCAGGCAGCGTGTCTGACACACATTCTGTCACACATTAAGTCATCTGCTGTGACCCCCCGCGATTCCTGTCATGCAATTACATTATAATAATAAAGGAAACATCTTGTATTTTGAGGTTCTTGAGAGGCATATAGAAGTTGGTATTCAAGTATAATACAAAATATTATGGATGTCAACTTCTTCTTTATTCTTGTAGTTTGGATAGCAAACCCTAAACCTGTTTTCTTTTTCAAAATAAATTCAAATACAAACATATTCAGGCGAATGTAATCCCCCAAACCGGCTGATGGATTTTAACTGAGTGAATATTGATTTACACCGCACATGGACATATTAAGACTTCAGATGCCTTTGTGATACTTAATACTACCTTTGATTACACAATGCCATTTAGAAATGTAACATATGTTATATTTGGGATTACACTTTCTTAGTAAAGTACAAATTCTAGTACTTGTTTGAGTTAAGCCCCATCCGGGATTCGAACTCACACCCTACGAGTCAGGCACGTAATCGACAGCACACAAAGTCAGCCGCCTAACCCGCTCAGCTACCGCGACTTCCACAAAAATGGAAGTCGGACAACTGGTAGTCTAGACTGCGGGCTTTGTGTACCCCTCTGATAAGTGTTAATTGGCACGGCTCCCACGACCGAAAGATATGATTACACAATGCCATTTAGAAAGTAGTCAAATGTAACATATGTTAAATTTGGGATTACACTTTCTTAGTAAAGTACAAATTCTAGTACTTTTTTGAGTTGAACCCCATCCGGGATTCGAACCTAAACCCTACTACCTTTATCGTACATTGCATCACCACGATGACTTTCAGTTGAATTGTATCTTCGGCAACACTGTGTGATGAACGTATATTAAGATTAGTTATTTCTGTTTCTTGATTAACACACCGATACGTAGCCATTAGGTTAACCATGGTTAAAATCCTCCACCACAATGGCTCTCGGTTGAATAGCACCTTTAGCAATACTGTCTGATGTATTGATGAACGTATTTTAAGAACAATTCCATCTGTTTATCAATTAACAGACTGATACTTTGGCACGTATGTTAACCATGTCGAACTCCTCTCTATCAGCTGGAGCTGTTACCTCAGAAGACCTCAAGCAGTTAAAGAAAGAAATCTTCGATGGATATGATGTTCAAATCCGCCCTGTGTACAACCAAACAGAGGCAGTAAACGTAGATATGAGGTTTAGCCTTCAATACATCGCCTACCTGGTACGTACTTCTCCTTCAGAACGGAATTTACCATATATCTCGACCTTCTCGCATTTTGTGTAAAAACCGGTTATGAAGTACATGTACACAGATAAAAGATTCTGTTGGTGTCTGCATGTGCCTGTGTAAAGGTAAAAATATTTAATATTTAACTAAATGTTCAAATTCAGGATCTGAAGATTCAGAAACTAAAATGGAACGGCTTGCTGAGCATGGTAAGTTTAACATTTTGCTAAGTACCAACAACAGTTTTCTTGTCTTTTGTTAGCATATACATGTATATTGACGCTTCTTACCTTGAACATAATCAGTTCAAGGCAAATAAACACGTTATATATGTTCAACTTAGTGAGATACAAATTGTAGAATGATAAACATGTATATGATCTTCATTGACATGATGAATCTCTGATACGAAATTGCACAAGAGTGTTCAAGCTCAACAACAATATTTTAGACACAAATCAAATCAAAGCCATCGAGCGATGCTCTAAAGTCACAATATCCTAAACATTTCATTCTTGACCTCTCTTCTCGTATACGACACCGGTGTAACACAAAGATCTTGATTGAGAGAATCTCACAAAACACTCAGAGGTCGTTACAAAGTGCAAATCATGTGGAAATCGTTTTGGGAATCTAACTAACCTTGGATAGCTCAATACCTACTTTTAAGATTCATCAAATGATCATATTTTTCAACAACAAAACTTTAACAGATTCAATCATTTATCGAACTTTCAAATTTTCCGGGTTCAGAACATTGTCAATGTGGCCAATGGAAATAGACAAGAAGAGAAAATATTGACACTCAATGCAAAGATTTATATATAATCATAAAATAATTATTTACTTCAATACACTGTAAAATCAAGTTTCCTACTGAAACTCTCAAACGTCTATTCTGGTGGTTTATTAAAAATTAAATATGTTCAGTTAATATGTTGAATACATTCTTTCCATTATTTCGTGTTTGCTTTGCTTCTTTGTTTGTTTTAGCGTTGGTACGATAGAATCCTATCATGGAACGCCAGTAAGTATGGAGGCCTGGACTTCATCACTGTGCCACAGACGAAAATATGGCGTCCCGACTACGTCGTCGACAATGTGTATGTACAAAACTAATGCTCACTGAAATTCCCGCACTTCAGAGAAGAGTGAATACTGAAAAGCAAAGGCAACCAGTAAATAAATATCCCAATATTATCGTCGATCTGTAGATAATACAGTAATACCAGATAATAGTACCAGATATTGATAATAAGACCAACGCTCCCTGCAATCAGGGATGAAAACACAAGCCTAACCACCAGAAATCATATCATCATCAATACTTGATTCCCATACCTGGATATGATGTTGAATAGAGTGAGTGATGGAACAAAAAATTATTAAAGTATAGGATGATGTATTCAGTTATTTTGAGACAAGAAGAAGCAATACATGACACACAAACTTTCACCAATGGAGAAAGGACATACATGCATATCACAGATCGATTGTTGCCTTATGGAGTAGTCTCCAAACTTGGTGTCACTTTGACGTACAGTACTTGTGCTACATTATTCAAATATATTGCCCAGTTTCACAAGCGTATCCATCCAAATATTAAGTTTACTTTCCTTTTGACATAGTGTTTCTCAAAAACGAGCCTGGGAACACCGGATACTCTCGTTTTCATAGAAAGTAGTGGATTAGTCACTTGGGAACCGGGAATGGTTAGTGAAACAAGCTGCAAAATTGACATCAGGAAGTATCCCTTCGACACCCAGACCTGTTCGTTTGAATTTCTTCCCTGGATGACAACAAGCAGGTTCTTGAACACTACCAGTCGTCTCAATAAGATCGACATGTCACGTTTTGTGCCACATGGAGAGTTCACTACTGGAGAGTCTTCAGTCCATTGCGATCACATCAATGTTGAATTTGCTGAAGATGTATTGGTGACAATAACTTACACTCTTGTCCTCAACAGACGTCCGGCGTTCTATTGGATGGTCATGATATTTCCAGTGGCAATCTTTCCATTGCTCAGTCCAGTCAGCTTCCTTGTACCCGTAGAGAGTGGAGAGAAGATAACTCTGTCAATCACTGTGGTGTTGTCCTACTTGGTCTTCATTTGGGTCAATAAAAGTAAATTTGATGCGATGCCAAAGTTGTCAGATACAGTCTCCTTGATAGGTACGGTATCTGTACCCGGCGACTGTAACCTGGAGGCACCATGGGTCCGTGATTATGACCATGCAATGCATGAGAAAGTAACTAGGTCGTTTGTCTGCTACATCTCACCAGATTGCCTGAGAAGTGTTATCAAAAAGTCCAAATCTAATACAGCTCCAGGGCCTGATGGTATTCGAAACCGGTACTGGAAACTATTCCCCTGTGTCCAAACACCATTACTTCACTGCTTCAATACTCTCGTGGACACAGGTGATGTTCCTCCGTGGTTCTGCAAAGGTCGCACAATACTCCTCTCCAAGAAAGGAGACTTGACTGATCCCAAAAACTTCCACCCTATCACATGTTTAAATACACAATACAAATTATTTACAGGGTGTTTGACAAACCTCGTGTTATCATACTGCTCTGCTAATGATATAATTTATAGAGAGCAGAAAATGATTTTGGAAGAGGCTTAAACATATCACCGCAACCTCTCCATGTGCTGGATTGACTACAAAAAGGCATACGACTCTGTCCCTCACGAATGGATTCTGAAGTCTCTTCGTTGTATTGACCTCCCGGAGCGACTACTTGATTTACTCAAGTCTTTAATGAGTTGCTGGTCGACTCAACTTGAGATGTACTTGCAACGGCCGGTGCAGACTTCGGAATCTATTCCAATAAGAAGGGGAATTTTCAAGGGGGAGTCCTTCAGTCCTTTGCTTTTTTGTTTGTCTCTAAATCCTTTGAGCTTTCTGCTCAACAGAGAGGAGGGTTACCATCCCGGACCTCCTCAGCACAGATCCCCAACACCGCTTACTCATCCTCTTTACATGGATGACATCGAGCTCCTTGCCAAAGGAGATACCAATTTGAAAGAACATATTCTCCTTGTCGAGTCCTTTCCTAATGATATTGGACTCGACAAATGTAATACTCTTCATTTAAAACGTGGCAAGGTAGTTAATGGTGGATCGGTCAAGTTAAAGGGGGGGGGGGGGAGTTATTGAGCATCTTGTGGAAGATCAGGCCTACACCTATCTTGGAATACAAGTTCGAGACAAGCTCCAGAACGCCCAACTTCAAGACAAACTTTGGGCGGAGTATAAATCTCTTTAAAGAAAATCTGGAGCTCAGAGCTAAATGCTCGAAACAAGGTCAAAGCCACCAATACTTTTGCTGTGCCAGTCCTTTCCTATTCCTTTGGAGTAGTTCATTGAAGAAAACAAGACATCAAGAGTCTTGACCGTCTGACCAGAAGGATCATGTCTGATAACAGAGCCTAACACCCTCGTTCCTCTCTTAACCGTTTATACATGCCAATCAGTTCTGGAGGTCGGGGTTTGATTAATGTGGAGGCTCTTCATGATATAATTTTATTTTATACTTTTGCACATATTTATTTATCCGATGATCCTCTAGCGATGCATGTGAAGACTCATGATGAAAGCAAGGAATTCCACAGCTATTTTAAGCGTGCCAAGGTTGTTGGACAGAATCTGAAATTTAAGGTAGATTTTGTTGATGGCGATGTACTGCTGGACGGTACAGTGATGGGAGTAAACCAGGTGAAGTCCTTCACCAAGTCTGCCCAGAGTCGGTCTTTTGTGGAGAAGCTTTCTGAGAAGCCATTGCATCGTGTGTACATGCAGTGTGTTGAACAGAATAGCAATCCCACCGACTCCTTCGCCTGGATGAAGTCGGCTGGTCTTAAATGTGAAACTGAGGGCTTCCTTTTTGCTGCTCAGGACCAGTCACTTCCCACTCGCAATCGCCTAAATGTGATTCTTAAAGAAAATATCAATATGAAATATCGACTATGTAATGAATTTACAGAGACTGTCCAACATCTTGTCAGTGGATGCCCTTCTTTGGCACATCTTAACAGCATATCTTAAACGACATGATGGCATGGCTCGTTGCTTTTACTACCGTCTCCGCCATGCCTGTGGCTTTGACTCCGAGTTCCATCCATGGTACGAACCTGAACATGTCCAGGGCGTCATGGAAAATGATGCTTTCAAACTTCTGTGGAATAGGCCCATATACAGCCTCAGAAGAATTCCAGCCAACAAACCTGATCTTGTCCTTTTTGATAAAGCCAATGAATTTATTTATATCATTGAATTTTCTGTCCCTTTTGACACCAATGTGATTGGCAAGATTCAAGAAAAGCATGATAAATATGCGGACCTCGCCTTTGAAATGTCTCACTTGCATCCCAAGTACACTGTCGTCAAGCTCCCCATTGTTCTCGGTGCCCTTGGTTTGGTTCCTCCTGATCTCTTGGCGCAGATCAGGAGAGTGCCCGGGTTCTCCACCGGGAGCACAGCCCTTCTGACACTCTGGGTAATGCAGAAGGCTGCAGTGTTGGGGAGCCTTCATATTCTGTGGAAAGTTCTTGGTGGTTTCGACTAGGCAGTGTTTCCTGGGAGAAGTCCCATTCGCTGTCTGGGCTGCCTGTAGAGGGGGCGAGGGCCCTGAGCTGATGATGAGCCCTACCAGCCTGACTGTGCCAGGATCACCCGAACCCTCTCTGCTGCATACTATCTTTAATCTGTAAAACATAATAATAATAGATTTGTACATACAATTAAACGAACCATTACTCAGACTAACGTGCGCTGACTATGTCAGATTTCAGCTCTCAATTTAGTGGGCGTTATTTTAAAGAAATATAATTGATTGGAATATGTGTATGTATTATCAAAGTAATTGATGTTACATAATTATTAATTCACTCACACACTCACGGGGACTTCATATACATCATAAATACTTTCAGATCATAAAGTGAAGATGTTATTATGATTGGCATATAGAGACAATATGTTGTTCTCTCTATATTAAAACCACTGATACAAAACTGTCAATTTACGCATCTCTGCTAGCAGTTGTATGAGCATAAACGTTTTGTGAAAATTGGTTGATATCTTCCTTTTCTGAGAATTCATTTCAACTTTTACCAAATTACAGATTGCACTTGCATATTTGATGCCCACACAATTGAAAATATGCTGTTCCGGGTATTACCGCGTGAGATTATCAAACACAACAATGTAATCATGAGGTTCAAATTGTCCTTGGTGTGTTTGGGGATGGACGGATCCTCTCTGATCTCGAGTTAAAGATTGATTGTGCGTATGCAATGTGATTCAATATATAATCTACACATGTACGTTTATTTCAGTTATCTATACCTCCGTGCAGACATTGATAAGCATGCTGACAGTCGTTGCCAATGGAATTATCATATGCATACATAAGCTGCCCCCGGACTTTCAAGTCACAGTTCCAGTGTTCAAAACCTCGAGAAGACTCTACTCATCAAGAAAGACGAAGTACGATCCACAAAATGAGGAGAGTTGCAAAAGTAATTCTCCGAAGTTGGAGTTGTGTTCAATTACTGGCAGAACAAGGGCAGTACAATTAGCAGAAGAGTGCATAAAAGAAAAGTCCGAAAACAATTGGCTTAATAATGACAAATATATCCTGCTTGCTCGTCGACTTGACAAGATCTGCCTCGTGTGCTTTGCAGTTCTTGCAACACTGGTGTCGATCATTTTCGGCTTCCTTTTCGCATGCTAAGGTACAGGATAACGGTGCCTACTAGAACTTTGTTTGAAACATTGTTTTCTATTCCCATATTGAAGCTAACTGTGGTTTCCTTTGCATTAATTTAACAAGCTTGACAGTTATGTTCTGATTATTTATTTCATTTTCGTGAAGTGATGTTTGTTGTAGAATGTTTGACGCCGAAAATTTCATTGATGCTTTTCAACATTGCAAAAAGAAAACATATCTTGTATATATAGTTTTATATAGGCACATTCTGACCCAATTTCCCTTATGGTCTAGAAGGGGCGGTGGGGTAGCCTAGTGGTTAAAGCGTTCGCTCGTCACGCCGAAGACCCGGGTTCGATTCCCCACATGGGCAAAATGTGTGAAGCCCATTTCTGGTG